TGAGGTATTTTGTAATGTAGTGTTACAATAAGCTACTCATGAAAGCTACGTTGCATAATTGGAATATATTTATGATATCAGTGTGACATTATAAGAAATCAGTAGACGCTTTCTACTGGTATGACTTTGAGTTGACATCAATACACATTAAGCATTTGAATTCCTAATTATTAGGTCTCTTGTCTTCTAGATTGCTCTGTGTCACCTTTTCTTCAATGTTTTTGGCATTCTGGTGTGGTATCCTTTCCCATTCATGCGTCTACCGATAAGGATGGCTCGTGTTCTCGGTGAGCGCACTGCCAAGTACCGCTGGTTTGCAATCTTGTACCTACTCCTCTGCTTCCTGTTGCTTCCATCACTGGTGCTGGGCCTCTCACTGGCTGGTTGGCAGGTGATGGCTGGAGTTGGCGCTCCTTTCTTGGGTGTAACCATCTTCATTACCATGGTGAATGTAATGCAGTCCCGCAGCCCCCATCACCTGCCAAACAAGCTCAAGAACTGGGACTTCCTGCCCAAATGGATGCACTCTCTTAAACCACTGGACCACCTAATTGCCAAAACAGTTCTCTGCTGCAGCTTCTCTTGTGAAGACGGACAAGAGGAAGAGGAAGAAGAAGCACCAATATCTCCAAGTACAACCTCTTGCAACAAACACACAGAGTTTGCTCAGCTTGCTTACAACAACCCAGTCATGGATTACCTGGATGAGAGAAGACCAGATGTACCAGTTCTTAAATTAAAAGGTTTAGAGAGGTGCAACAGTACTCCTCTGTAATTCATCCAATAATGAGGGATTTTCTTCCATTTTGTCAAAAGAGTAGGTTTTAGAAAAGTAATTTTTAATGTTTTGGAAATAAACTGATTTGTGATTACTGACTGACTGACTTTGTTTGAAATGGAAAGCAATGGAAAATATTACAAGTTTAGGATGAGATGTGAGTTCAGAAAACACCAACTAAGAATCAATGAGGAGAACAATTGTTTTTGTTTTTTGTTTTTGCCAATTTTTAACCAACGTTTCCCTCATAATGAATGTCTATACTGCCCTTTTAAATACAAATCTATACAAAATGTATGACTAGCCTAACTGACGTTAATAAATGGATGATTAATCCTTAAAAAAGGTTTCATAGAAGAGATAGTGTTTGTTTAATTTTACACTCATTTCTTGTAAATTAGTGTTTGTAAAATCTACATTATGATGCAATGCCATGGCCTCTCTTATCTATGAAAACATAATGATTTAAATATCAATTATTGGAAGTAAAACTGGGAAAAACATTGTGAAAGTGTTGGTATTTATTATGTAATCATGCATAACTATTTAGACAGACACTTTCATCATAAAAATCAACCTTATAATAAGATTGTTATAATAATCTAGATATGGATAATTATGCAAAGCACAAAACTTAAAAAAATGCTTACTGCAAACTAGTTTCCGCATTCAAAGCAGTGGTAGGAAACTCCTACAATCCCTCTTTTGATCTCTGTTTTAATTGGAGTTTTAAAAAAAATGATTCGTATTTTATTATTTTTAGAATTTCTTACATTTCTATGACATGTTCCTGGTCTTGTTGACCACAAAAAGCACCTTTTTACTACAAGTAACATTGTCTGTGTCTCAGTTATCCAAGTCGTGGTCATTTTAGGAGCGACCGGACTTCTTCATATGTCATGAAGACATTTCACATCTAGCCCAAGAGGCTTCTTCATTTCCTGAAGAAATGAGGTGGAAATACAGACAGTCTCAAGGTCCCTCTTCAACTCTGTCACTACTGTCCCACAAAAAACACACACAGATATGATGTGTACAGTTTCACAGTTTGAAGATTCCCTAAAACTAAGATTTTCTTGTGCATCTAAAATCCAGCCTCCATGTAGCCCCTGTACAATATATAAAATTTTAGTGGTTTTTTTTTTTTGTGTCACATTTACTGCTGTCAAATGTCAACCTGTGTTAAACTTGACCCAAAAAGTGAGGATTTACACACAGACATCAAGGATTCCACAAAGAAACCAAACAATTTTATCCAGTTTAAGACTATTTAATAAATTCATTAAAAATAAACGCCACCATGTGTAGGAATGCTAGAATGAGTACATAACAATAATAATTATTAGGCCTTATTTCCCACAGAATGCAGAAATGGTTGAGGAAGATATTTATTTTATCTTCTAGTGTTTGTAGAAAAATCAAGAAAAAGAAATGAGTATTGTTTAGTCCAGAGTTTAACAAAACAATCATATTACCAAGTGGAGAAATATTTGATCATTAAGTGAAAATATCATGTACTCACTGGTTATATAAGTCTTAGTGGGCGACTGAATACACAGAGACTCTACAAGGAATTCAAAGAATCACCACATTAGCTGCTTGATGTTGTCTACAAAGACGTGCATGAATGTGGCATGAACGTGTTGCGGGCTTGTGTGTGTGTTGTAGTTTTTGTGTGTGTATGCTTTTCCAAGTGGGTGAGTATGCACACTCGGGAGGTGTTGCTGAAAGTGTGAATATGTGCCATTTTCTCTGCTGCTCTGAAACAATTGATAAAGAAAGGGGGAAAAAAAGAAAAGAAATATGGGCTTGCTGAAATGCACTGATGTAATCAGAGAACAAAGTCAGACACTTTCACTTGTAAGGTGATAGACAAAGACATGACGAACTGAAGAGCAACCATTAGCCTGCCAATAACTTTCGTTCAGAATTGTCAAAAATAAGAGTTTGTTTATTAAGATTAGTCATCTTTGGTTTCACAGCTCACCTTTTCTTTAACGAAAAGCATTGTCTTGTCTTCATGTCTCTCTGATTTTGCTATAGTGTTTCGCCTGATGTTCAAAAGTCGCCAATAAACATGCCAGTCTGCACTGAGTTTACACCGCCTTGCTGATTCATTTGAACCTTGAAGGCATCGGAGAGCAGCATGAGAAGAGAAACTACCATGAGTCCTTGTACCTCATTCTTACATCCACTCATTATAAAATACACCCAGCTCTATTTCTCCTCGTGAGAGGTGATGTGAGTGCTATAATCATTTGTGTGGGTGCAGTTTGGATCAATGCTGGAGTCCAGCAGGGCAGGGTCACTCCAGCCAAGCCTTTTTGAGTCCAAGGATTCACAGTGAGGACCTGGAGCTGCTAGGACTTTCTGCTGTTTTTTGTTCAGTTTCTACAATATTGCACAGAAAATAGCACGATTGTTCACACTTTCACGCCTCTGAGTGCCCTTTCTCTTCACTCATCCACAATGTGTAAAGTGTTTCAATCGTTTTTCCATTTCTCCCAGTGCGATCATTGTGATCCCATTAACGTGGAATCTGTTACTTCCTACCTTATGCTCTCTCACACTTATTTACTCTCTATGCTCTATGCGAGCAAAGCAAAAGAATAAACCAGTCCACCAGACTCAATTAAATTCTGTTTTATTTATATAGCGTCAAATCACTGCAGCAGTAGCCTTAAGGCACTTTATATTGTAAGAACAATGGGAGACCTGTGCAGCGCCAGTGTGAAGGAAAAACTCCCTTTTAACATGGAGAAATCAGAAAGAACCAAGAAACACTGGAAGAGAGCCAGAGAGTAATAATAACAAATGATCAATTGCAGATTGGTGTATAAACACATAGTGAGTGAACAAAAAACACTCAGTGCAACATGGGAAGCCCCGAACACCCTAGGCCTATTGTAGTGCAACTAATGGCGGATTCAGGGTCACCTGATCCAGCTCTCTATCAAAAAAGAACATTTTAAGTCTGATCTTAAGAATAGAAAGGGCATCTGTCTCCCAAATCCAAACTGGAAGCTGGTTTCAAAGAGGGACCTGAAATAAAAACTCCTAAAAATCATTTTCTTCTGCTATTTCAGGCTGAGTTGTTCTGTGTGATGATGAAGTCACGCCGCACATGTTTCAGCAGCTGTGTTCATGAACCCTTTCAACCCTCAATCCTTCCAATTTTGCTTGCAAGGCATTATGCTTCACCGCCCAAGTGCTGATTTAGCAATAATCTATCATCAGCCTTCTCTCACTCTGTGATGATGATTATTTCTCTGAGGCATTACAGCATAACTTATTCCACATAATCATCCAGGGACATCATTACTGAAAAGGTGAGGGCAGAAGACGTGTAAAGAAATAATGATTCTGAAGTCATCTGGTGTTTTGGGTTCTGAAGCAGCAGTCAATATATTTGAAACGAATGAGTGATCTTTTTTGATTCCACAACATTTCCGGTGGTGTTAAAATTGCCTCTTTGATTCCCGATACTCTAGCGCAGAGTTTCAGTATAGCATTTAGCTTTGGTTCATGCCTTGAGTTCTATTAGTTAGCAATAGTTGGTTTAGCTCCCTCAGATTTACCCTGTGAGTCTTGTTGCCTCTGGATTAGAAATGTATCTTTTGGGTGTTCCCTTTTTTACCTTGACAGCTGGTTTAGGCTGTTTGTGTGATAGTCTTACCTTTGCCTGTGTCTTGCTTCCAAGCAGTTATCAATGTGTGTGTGTGTGT